TTTTTTTTAAACATATCAGAAATGAAAGGTTTGAAAATTGGATCTCGTCCTTTATATTCATATAAACTATCAATACCTGCCATTGTACTAAATATTATTGCTAATGATTGTGTAGCGTCACAAATTCCTTTACTACAAGCTATTACTGTAGTAAATGTTGAAGCTAATCTATCTAAAGGTGAATTTCTAAGATCTAAAGAAGCATCTCTTATTAATTTTCTAAGATGTTTATATCTATGAATTGAAGTTAAAATATGGCTTATTGAATAAGCAAATGTATTAATAATTAAAATTATATAAATAACCATCATTAAAGTTTTTTCTGTATTTAATTTTAAAGGTAATTGTGTTAATAAAGCTAGACTAGATAAACCCCCAAATAGTCTAAATAGTCTTAGTCAAATATTATTATAAAAATTTAATATATGAAAAGGTAAAGTATTTCTTGCTATACCTTTTTTATATGCAATATACAATGAATTTAGATTTTTTTAATTTAACATTTTTAATTATATTAAAAAGTAATATTAATACTTGTCTCTTACATATATAGTAATTAAAACTATATACTATGTTAATTTATAAACTTATTAAAAAAGAAATTCTAAATCTTAAAATAATATTATTTACAGAAGTTTTATAGAAGTTTTATAAAAGTTTTATAGATGTTATACACTATAAAAAATATATTTTCATTAAGATATATAGAAATTAGATAAAATTATATAGTAAATATATATTGTATTTATAAGTTTCTTTTTCTGTTATTATAATAATATTATTTTAATTTTAATTATAATAAACAAAATGAGATTAGTCCATCGCTCTCCCCTCCCTGTTACCTAGTGGGGCCCCCTAAGGGATGCTGGGACTCTCTAAATTAGAATAATGTCATTTAATTATAATATCTAATAAGTTATAAGCTTTATTAAAAATATAAAAAAAGAATGACATTAATTTGTAATAACCTTCTCTTATTATTACAAATTAATTAGATTTATATTAGAATTTCAGACCATCGGCATACTAAAATTTTACTTAGCTTTTACTTATAAATAAATTCAATAAATAAATTATTTAAATTATAAATATTTATAGACTTATAATTATTGTCTAATAATTTTTGTCATTATTAAATTTACATTAATGCTTAAATCTTAAATAATAAAATACTATAGTGCAAGCATCGCATCCTAGCCTAAGAGCACCGCGTAGCCAAGGTAAGGCAAGATTGCTTAGCATACCTAGATACGGTACGAAGCCTGCCAAGCGTTAGGACAGCACTAGCCCTCCCTTAGCTTGCCGGCACCGCAAGCCAGCTGGGAGCCAGGTGGGAGAGCGAGCCAGTCCAGTGTAGGGGGGGAGGTCTGTGGGGGAGAGAGGGAAAGGGGAGGGAGGCTGTGTTATATAGTAATTATAAACTTAAAAATAAATATGTCAGATATTCATTTCTTAAGTATGTTCAAGAGCAAGGTGATTTGAACACCTACCAATGATTTTGAAGATCATAATACTAACCAATTATACTATGCTCTTAAATGAAAAATAAAAAATTTATATTATATTTATATAATTATCTTATATTACATAAGATTATCTGAAGGAGTAGCCTTGCCACAGACAGGAACAGATATTAAGGTAAACTGGCACTCTTACTTATAAAGAATAAATATACATGTTTATTCTTTCCTCTTATGATCTAAATTTAAATTTTAAAGTAATTTATTCTAGTGCCAGCCTAAGCCTTCATATTAAGGAGGCTGATGCCAAGCTAGGATTTTGTAGCGCTACCTCAGGCTTACCTATATAAAGTTAAACAAGTCTAGCCTTTACTACACCATACTGGCACTTAGGACTCTGTACTTACCATAAGTACTTGTAATTAGCCAAGCCCAATAAGTAGGCAGCCTACACCTCAGACCCTCTCAGCAATCAAGCATACTAGCATCCCTCGCGTAGCCTGCCTTCACCCTTACAGCTCTACCTACCTCCCGTTACCCCCCCC